TTCTGAAAAAGAGTTGTGTAGCTCAGTGGGCCTTACCTTTTAAAAGAAAATAGTAGTTTATAGCCTAGTCAGTTATCCCTGCATACTTCGTGGATTCGTTCTATCGCTTGACAGCGCCCATTTCACTGACCGCACGAGTTGTCTTTATTTCTCTATTCATTTATTCGTTGGAGCAACCACGGTGCAGATACACACACGGGCGATCATGCTGTAACAGGACACATTTCAGTAACAGAGACCTCAAGCTCGTTCGCTCGCTCGCCCACATGCATAAGACGGTCCCCCGCACCCAGGATTATCGCGTGGGACCACCGCAACCACGACAATCACCACGACCACGACGACCACCACGACCACGACCACCACCACGACCACGACTACCACCACGACCACGACTACCACCACCACGACCACAACGATCCAGATACGGAATCGTAGCACGGGGAACATTGAGAACCGTGGCGAGAGAGAGAAAGAGAGGAGGACAACTCGGCAAACATAAAACAGCGCGCGACGAGGATGGAGTTTCGGCCTCACGTTTCTGGAAGAGGAGGTGGGGAGGTCTGTAACAAGCGAGCGGGTCCCACCACAAGTCAACACGTGGCTCAGAGACACTGAACCCCGTTAAACACTCGACCTGGTCTGTTTAAACGTCCAGACGTGCTGTGAGGGTGTCCCTTAGCCAAATCTCAACGTCCTATGAGGGTGTCCCTTAGCCACATCTCAACGTGCTGTGTAGGGGTGTCTCTGAGCCACATCTCAACGTTGTGTGAGGGTGTCTCTGAGCCACATCTCAACGTGCTGTGTGAGGGTGTCCCTAAGCCACATCTCAACGTTGTGTGAAGGTGTCTCTGAGCCACATCTCAACGTGCTGTGTGAGGGTGTCCCTGAGCCACATCTCAACGTGCTGTGTGAGGGTGTCTCTGAGCCACATCTCAACGTGCTGTGTGAGGGTGTCTCTGAGCCACATCTCAACGTGCTGTGTGCGGGTGTCTCTGAGCCACATCTAAACGTGCTGTGTGAGGGTGTCCCTGAGCCACATCTCAACGTGCTGTGTGGGGGTGTCTCTGAGCCACATCTCAACGTGCTGTGTGAGGGTGTCTCTGAGCCACATCTCAACGTGCTGTGTGAGGGTGTCTCTGAGCCACATCTCAACGTGCTGTGTGAGGGTGTCCCTGAGCCACATCTCAACGTGCTGTGTGAGGGTGTCTCTGAGCCACATCTCAACGTGCTGTGTGAGGGTGTCTCTGAGCCACATCTCAACGTGCTGTGTGAGGGTGTCCCTGAGCCACATCTCAACGTGCTGTGTAGGGGTGTCTCTGAGCCACATCTCAACGTGCTGTGTGAGGGTGTCTCTGAGCCACATCTCAACGTGCTGTGTGAGGGTGTCTCTGAGCCACATCTCAACGTGCTGTGTGAGGGTGTCCCTGAGCCACATCTCAACGTGCTGTGTGAGGGTGTCTCTGAGCCACATCTCAACGTGCTGTGTGAGGGTGTCTCTGAGCCACATCTCAACGTGCTGTGTGAGGGTGTCCCTGAGCCACATCTCAACGTGCTGTGTGAGGGTGTCTCTGAGCCACATCTCAACGTGCTGTGTGAGGGTGTCTCTGAGCCACATCTCAACGTGCTGTGAGGGTGTCCCTGAGCCACATCTCGACGTGCTGTGAGGGTGTCCCTGAGCCACATCTCAACGTGCTGTGTGAGGGTGTCTCTGAGCCACATCTCAACGTGCTGTGTGAGGGTGTCCCTAAGCCACATCTCAACGTGCTGTGTGAGGGTGTCTCTGAGCCACATCTCAACGTGCTGTGTGAGGGTGTCTCTGAGCCACATCTCAACGTGCTGTGAGGGTGTCCCTGAGCCACATCTCGACGTGCTGTGAGGGTGTCCCTGAGCCACATCTCAACGTGCTGTGTGAGGGTGTCTCTGAGCCACATCTCAACGTGCTGTGAGGGTGTCCCTTAGCCACATCTCAACGTGCTGTGAGGGTGTCCCTGAGCCACATCTCAACGTGCTGTGAGGGTGTCCCTGAGCCACATCTCAACGTGCTGTGTGAGGGTGTCTCTGAGCCACATCTCAACGTGCTGTGTGAGGGTGTCCGAGAGCCACATCTCAACGTGCTGTAAAAGTGCCCCTGAGCCACATCTCAACGTGCTGTGAGGGTGTCCCTGAGCCACATCTCAACGTGCTGTGTGCGGGTGTCTCTGAGCCACATCTCAACGTGCTGTGAGGGGGTGTCCCTGAGCCACATCTCAACGTGCTGTGTGAGGGTGTCCCTGAGCCACATCTCAACGTGCTGTGTGAGGGAGTGTCTCTGAGCCACATCTCAACGTGCTGTGTGAGGGTGTCTCTGAGCCACATCTCAACGTGCTGTGTGGGGGTGTCCCTGAGCCACATCTCAACGTGCTGTGTGAGGGTGTCCCTGAGCCACATCTCAACGTGCTGTGTGAGGGAGTGTCTCTGAGCCACATCTCAACGTGCTGTGTGGGGGTGTCCCTGAGCCACATCTCAACGTGCTGTGTGAGGGTGTCTCTGAGCTACATCTCAACGTGCTGTGTGAGGGTGTCCCTGAGCCACATCTCAACGTGCTGTGTGGGGGTGTCTCTGAGCCACATCTCAACGTGCTGTGTGAGGGTGTCCCTGAGCCACATCTCAACGTGCTGTGTGAGGGAGTGTCCCTGAGCCACATCTCAACGTGCTGTGAGGGTGTCTCTGAGCCACATCTCGACGTGCTGTGTGGGGGTGTCTCTGAGCCACATCTCAACGTGCTGTGAGGGTGTCCCTTAGCCACATCTCAACGTGCTGTGTGAGGGTGTCTCTGAGCCACATCTCGACATGCTGTGAGGGTGTCACTTAGCCACATCTCAACGTGCTGTGTGAGGGTGTCTCTGAGCCACATCTCAACGTGCTGTGTGAGGGTGTCTCTGAGCCACATCTCAACGTGCTGTGAGGGTGTCTCTGAGCCACATCTCAACGTGCTGTGTGAGGGTGTCTCTGAGCCACATCTCAACGTGCTGTGAGGGTGTCTCTGAGCCACATCTCAACGTGCTGTGTAGGGGTCCCTTAGCCACATCTCAACGTGCTGTGAGGGTGTCTCTGAGCCACATCTCAACGTGCTGTGAGGGTGTCCCTGAGCCACATCTCAACGTGCTGTGAGGGTGTCCCTGAGCCACATCTCAACGTGCTGTGTGAGGGTGTCTCTGAGCCACATCTCAACGTGCTGTGTGAGGGTGTCCGAGAGCCACATCTCAACGTGCTGTAAAAGTGCCCCTGAGCCACATCTCAACGTGCTGTGAGGGTGTCCCTGAGCCACATCTCAACGTGCTGTGTGCGGGTGTCTCTGAGCCACATCTCAACGTGCTGTGAGGGGGTGTCCCTGAGCCACATCTCAACGTGCTGTGTGAGGGTGTCCCTGAGCCACATCTCAACGTGCTGTGTGAGGGAGTGTCTCTGAGCCACATCTCAACGTGCTGTGTGAGGGTGTCTCTGAGCCACATCTCTACGTGCTGTGTGGGGGTGTCCCTGAGCCACATCTCAACGTGCTGTGTGAGGGTGTCCCTGAGCCACATCTCAACGTGCTGTGTGAGGGAGTGTCTCTGAGCCACATCTCAACGTGCTGTGTGGGGGTGTCCCTGAGCCACATCTCAACGTGCTGTGTGAGGGTGTCTCTGAGCTACATCTCAACGTGCTGTGTGAGGGTGTCCCTGAGCCACATCTCAACGTGCTGTGTGGGGGTGTCTCTGAGCCACATCTCAACGTGCTGTGTGAGGGTGTCCCTGAGCCACATCTCAACGTGCTGTGTGAGGGAGTGTCCCTGAGCCACATCTCAACGTGCTGTGAGGGTGTCTCTGAGCCACATCTCGACGTGCTGTGTGGGGGTGTCTCTGAGCCACATCTCAACGTGCTGTGAGGGTGTCCCTTAGCCACATCTCAACGTGCTGTGTGAGGGTGTCTCTGAGCCACATCTCGACATGCTGTGAGGGTGTCCCTTAGCCACATCTCAACGTGCTGTGTGAGGGTGTCTCTGAGCCACATCTCAACGTGCTGTGTGAGGGTGTCTCTGAGCCACATCTCAACGTGCTGTGAGGGTGTCTCTGAGCCACATCTCAACGTGCTGTGTGAGGGTGTCTCTGAGCCACATCTCAACGTGCTGTGAGGGTGTCTCTGAGCCACATCTCAACGTGCTGTGTAGGGGTCCCTTAGCCACATCTCAACGTGCTGTGTGAGGGTGTCTCTGAGCCACATCTCAACGTGCTGTGAGGGAGTGTCTCTGAGCCACATCTCAACGTGCTGTGTAGGGGTCCCTTAGCCACATCTCAACGTGCTGTGAGGGTGTCTCTGAGCCACATCTCAACGTGCTGTGTAGGGGTGTCCCTGAGCCACATCTCAACGTGCTGTAAAAGTGTCCCTTAGCCACATCTCAACGTGCTGTGTAGGGGTGTCCCTGAGCCACATCTCAACGTGCTGTGTGGGGGTGTCCCTGAGCCACATCTCAACGTGCTGTAAAAGTGTCCCTTAGCCACATCTCAACGTGCTGTGTGGGGGTGTCCCTGAGCCACATCTCAACGTGCTCTGTGGGGGTGTCCGAGAGCCACATCTCAACGTGCTCTGTGGGGGTGTCCGAGAGCCACCGCAGAAGCCGAACCAGCACGTGGGCGGCAGAGATGACCGCACGGGACGAGCATCGACCGCGCGTTGAGCCGACGCCAGGAGCCCCCCACGGGGAGCGAGGGCACCGACAACGATTTACCGAGGCCCCAGGGGTCCTCAGTGGGCGCCACGTGCTCCCCCACCACCACTGGGCAGGGTGCACGTGGAGGGGTGGGCTCGTGCGGAGGGGCACGTGCGGAGGGGCGCTTGGGGGGGGCGCGTGGGGAGCACGTGGGGGGCACGTGGTGGAGGTCGAGGGGGCACGGGGGGGGAGCGTGGTGGGGGTGGAGGGGGCACGTAGGGGGCACGTGGGGGGAGCGTGGTGGGGGTGGGAAGGGAGCGTGGGGGGGGGGGTGAGGAGGGGGCGTGGGGGGGGCACGTGGGGTGGGGGGGGGACACCTGGGGTGGGGGGGGGCACCCTTGGCTCTGTATGCCCACCGCGTGCTCTGCCAGTGGGGACCTGGCACCCCCCCCCCCTCTTGTTTCTAGACATTTATATTTTACAACATTCATTAAAACACGTTTTATTTTAAAATATTTATCTTAAAAAAATTCACCCCACCTCCTCCAAATAATATTGTAGCCCCACTTCCCAAAAAGAGACTTCACCCATCACCTGCTGTAGGTGAGGTAAGGGTGAGTTGATGGTGAGGTAAGGTGAGTTGATGGTGAGATGAGGTAAGGATGAGGCTAGGGTTAAGTGAGGGTGTGGTGAATGTGTGGTGAGTGTGTGGTGAGTGTGTGGTGAGGCAGACGTGAGGGTGAGGTGAGTATATGATGAGGAGATGAGGGTGCCGTGACGGTGTGGCGAGTGTGTGGTGAAGAGGAGGTGAGGGTGTGGTGAGGGTGTGGTGAGTGCGTGGTGAGGAGGAGGTAATCGTGTGGTGAGGGTGTGAGTCTCAGTTTCACCCTCACCCCACGCTCTTGCCAACCCCATCACCACCATCACCACCAACGTCATCATCAGGGTTCTGCTGTACAAGAACGGACGTGCTGAAGGAAGTTCGTGCACTCTCCCCTGCAGACACAGATAGAGACACAGAGACACATAGACACCACAGATTTACAGACATGGAGACGGAAAAAAAGAGACACAGTGATAGAACAACATCGACACAGAAACACACAGAGGCACAGATTGACGTAGACACAGAGGCAACGCGATGCAGATAAAGACACGGAGCCATGTACATGCACATCCCCTGTGCCATTACAAAAAGACAAAGATCCCAAGTGTAACCGAAGCAAACGGTTGGGGCAAGTGCTGTTAGCGAGCAGCGCCTATGAAGGCTGCCGGCACTGTGGCACACGAGGGGTGGGTGGCCAGCACCATGCACGGGCCGCCTCTGTCACACCAGTGGCGATGGTTACGCACCGCACCAGGTACTCATTTCAGGCTGAGACGGGTTGAGATCATCTTCACCGGTGTTGGCCGTGAGCAGGAATTAAACTCGGGTAGCCGGGTTTATAGCACAGCGCGCTAATCGCTGCGCCACCGCTCCCCACAAAGACAAAGTCACCCCATATAGCCTTAGTATACTGTGGGAGCAAGTGCTGTTAGCGAGCACCTATGAATGCCGGCACTGAGGAGACAACACCACTCCCAGGTTCATAGCGCGTCACGCTAACCGCTGCACCTCCCCTCCACACACACACACAGGAAAATAAGAATAGGTTTTACCATTTCTGCCAATAAAGCAGGGAGTTTTGTTAAGATTTGCAAACACCAAATTGATGCCTTTTTCAAGGGATTCAAGTCTGCATTAACCACACACAGTGCTTGTGGCAAAACATGCAAACACACATGGGTCTGATAATGTAAACATTGTCTTTGTAACCGATTGGCCTACACAGCTGTCTTCATGGCCTTGTCTCACCAGTACAAAGACAAGCAAATAAAATAAATCACCACTTACGCGACTTTACCTAAAGAACCAAAGAGTATGGATTCCTGCAGTCACGAAAGCTTCAAGTCAAGATAGTACAAAGACAATACAAGTATCGGAGCACTTACAGCTCGGGTCGAGCAGTTACATCTTTGGGATACCTTCTTGCTCGTATCAATAATCAATAAAATCAGATGGGGCTTTACCCTTTATAAATAACCACACATACTCGCCACAAGTCCATGTGGGTGAATGAAGACTTGATGCCATGCAAAGCGTTTCATCGATTTGGTGCTTGAACATTTTAACACAACTCCGGTTTTTTGCCATAAAATATTTGTTTTAAAACTACTGCCAAAAAATGTCGCCATAGACACACACAGAGGAGCCGGTGAGGGCCGGGTTCTCACCTGGATCAGGTGAAAGGTCGGAGAGCTCCGTGTGGAGGAAAGAGTCATCGTCATCTTCATCCTCATCGAGCAGGGCCACCTGTGTACGGACACACGAGGTGAACCCAGACAAAGGTTCCCCGTCTAGCCCATGGTAAGGCTCCACAATCGAGGTGTTTTTGGGTTAGATTGTGTAAATATAAACGATGTTAGCTGACTCTAAGAGTTGCATTACTAGGTTGTATTGACAGGCTGAATGTCTTGCTCGCTCTGTCACCGATCATTGACATGCGAATCTCTCACAATTCAATGGCCACTTCCACAGCCTCAGGGAGACCATCTCTAGGCCCGCCCTCTTACCCTGAGGGGCCTCCCATCTCACGCCTATATAAGGCCTCGTTTCAGTAGCTTTGTCTCTCTCTCACCTGAAGATGATTGCCTGTGTTGCGATCGAAACGTCGTGATCTATTGTTTGTCTATCCACGTAACTTTACCGAAAGACCCAAAGAGTGTAAATATAAACATGTCGTTTAACCCCCCCCTTGCGGTGGCAGGGGGAGAGAAAGACCCAGCAAGACTGGTAAATTTTAGAGAGAGTTGAGTGGAAATCCACCCCGTGGTGACAGGGGGAGAGAGAAAGACCCAGCAAGACTGGTAAATTTTAGAGAGAGTTGGGTGGAAATCCACCCCGTGGTGACAGGGGGAGAGAGAAAGACCCAGCAAGACTGGTAAATTTTAGAGAGAGTTGGGTGGAAATCCACCCCGTGGTGACAGGGGGAGAGAAAGACCCAGCAAGACTGGTAAATTTTAGAGAGAGTTGGGTGGAAATCCACCCCGTGGTGACAGGGGGAGAGAAAGACCCAGCAAGACTGGTAAATTTTAGAGAGAGTTGAGTGGAAATCCACCCCGTGGTGACAGGGGGAGAGAAAGACCCAGCAAGACTGGTAAATTTTAGAGAGAGTTGGGTGGAAATCCACCCCGTGGTGGCAGGGGGAGAGACAGACCCAGCAAGACTGGTAAATTTTAGAGAGAGTTGGGTGGAAATCCACCCCGTGGTGACAGGGGGAGAGAAAGACCCAGCAAGACTGGTAAATTTTAGAGAGAGTTGGGTGGAAATCCACCCCGTGGTGACAGGGGGAGAGAAAAACCCAGCAAGATTGGTAAATTTTAGAGAGAGTTGGGTGGATATCCACCCCGTGGTGACAGGGGAGAGAAAGACCCAGCAAGACTGGTAAATTTTAGAGTTGAGTGGAAATCCACCCGTGGTGACAGGGGGAGAGAAAGACCCAGCAAGACTGGTAAATTTTAGAGAGAGTTGGGTGGATATCCACCCCGTGGTGACAGGGGAGAGAAAGACCCAGCAAGACTGATAAATTTTAGAGAGAGTTGGGTGGAAATCCACCCCGTGGTGACAGGGGGAGAGAAAGACCCAGCAAGACTGGTAAATTTTAGGGAGAGTTGGGTTGAAATCCACCCCGTGGTGACAGTGGGAGAGAAAGACCCAGCAAGACTGGTAAATTTTAGAGAGAGTTGGGTGGAAATCCACCCAGTGGTGACAGGGGGAGAGAAAGACCCAGCAAGACTGGTAAATTTTAAAGAGAGTTGGGTGGAAATCCACCCCGTGGTGACAGGGGGAGAGAAAGACCCAGCAAGACTGGTAAATTTTAGAGAGAGTTGGGTGGAAATCCACCCAGTGGTGACAGGGGGAGAGAAAGACCCAGCAAGACTGGTAAATTTTAGAGAGAGTTGGGTGGAAATCCACCCCGTGGTGACAGGGGGAGAGAAAGACCCAGCAAGACTGGTAAATTTTAGAGAGAGTTGAGTGGAAATCCACCCCGTGGTGACAGGGGGAGAGAGAAAGACCCAGCAAGACTGGTAAATTTTAGAGAGAGTTGGGTGGAAATCCACCCCGTGGTGACAGGGGGAGAGAAAGACCCAGCAAGACTGGTAAATTTTAAAGAGAGTTGGGTGGAAATCCACCCCGTGGTGACAGGGGGAGAGAAAGACCCAGCAAGACTGGTAAATTTTAGAGAGAGTTGGGTGGAAATCCACCCCGTGGTGGCAGGGGGAGAGACAGACCCAGCAAGACTGGTAAATTTTAGAGAGAGTTGGGTGGAAATCCACCCCGTGGTGACAGGGGGAGAGAAAGACCCAGCAAGACTGGTAAATTTTAGAGAGAGTTGAGTGGAAATCCACCCCGTGGTGACAGGGGGAGATAGAAAGACCCAGCAAGACTGGTAAATTTTAAAGAGAGTTGGGTGGAAATCCACCCCGTGGTGACAGGGGGAGAGAAAGACCCAGCAAGACTGGTAAATTTTAGAGAGAGTTGGGTGGAAATCCACCCAGTGGTGACAGGGGGAGAGAAAGACCCAGCAAGACTGGTAAATTTTAGAGAGAGTTGGGTGGAAATCCACCCCGTGGTGACAGGGGGAGAGAAAGACCCAGCAAGACTGGTAAATTTTAGAGAGAGTTGAGTGGAAATCCACCCCGTGGTGACAGGGGGAGAGAGAAAGACCCAGCAAGACTGGTAAATTTTAGAGAGAGTTGGGTGGAAATCCACCCCGTGGTGACAGGGGGAGAGAAAGACCCAGCAAGACTGGTAAATTTTAAAGAGAGTTGGGTGGAAATCCACCCCGTGGTGACAGGGGGAGAGAAAGACCCAGCAAGACTGGTAAATTTTAGAGAGAGTTGGGTGGAAATCCACCCCGTGGTGGCAGGGGGAGAGACAGACCCAGCAAGACTGGTAAATTTTAGAGAGAGTTGGGTGGAAATCCACCCCGTGGTGACAGGGGGAGAGAAAGACCCAGCAAGACTGGTAAATTTTAGAGAGAGTTGAGTGGAAATCCACCCCGTGGTGACAGGGGGAGATAGAAAGACCCAGCAAGACTGGTAAATTTTAGAGAGATTTGGGTGGAAATCCACCCCGTGGTGACAGGGGGAGAGAAAGACCCAGCAAGACTGGTAAATTTTAGAGAGAGTTGGGTGGAAATCCACCCCGTGGCGACAGGGGGAGAGAAAGACCCAGCAAGACTGGTAAATTTTAGAGAGAGTTGGGTGGAAATCGACCCCGTGGTGGCAGGGGGAGAGAAAGACCCAGCAAGACTGGTAAATTTTAGAGAGAGTTGGGTGGAAATCCACCCCGTGGTGACAGGGGGAGAGAAAGACCCAGCAAGACTGGTAAATTTTAGAGAGAGTTGAGTGGAAATCCACCCCGTGGTGACAGGGGGAGAGAAAGACCCAGCAAGACTGGTAAATTTTAGAGAGAGTTGGGTGGAAATCCACCCCGTGGTGGCAGGGGGAGAGACAGACCCAGCAAGACTGGTAAATTTTAAAGAGAGTTGGGTGGAAATCCACCCCGTGGTGACAGGGGGAGAGAAAGACCCAGCAAGACTGGTAAATTTTAGAGAGAGTTGGGTGGAAATCCACCCCGTGGTGACAGGGGAGAGAAAGACCCAGCAAGACTGGTAAATTTTAGAGTTGAGTGGAAATCCACCCGTGGTGACAGGGGGAGAGAAAGACCCAGCAAGACTGGTAAATTTTAGAGAGAGTTGGGTGGATATCCACCCCGTGGTGACAGGGGAGAGAAAGACCCAGCAAGACTGGTAAATTTTAGAGAGAGTTGGGTGGAAATCCACCCCGTGGTGACAGGGGGAGAGAAAGACCCAGCAAGACTGGTAAATTTTAGGGAGAGTTGGGTTGAAATCCACCCCGTGGTGACAGTGGGAGAGAAAGACCCAGCAAGACTGGTAAATTTTAGAGAGAGTTGGGTGGAAATCCACCCCGTGGTGACAGGGGGAGAGAAAGACCCAGCAAGACTGGTAAATTTTAGAGAGAGTTGGGTGGAAATCCACCCCGTGGTGACAGGGGGAGAGAAAGACCCAGCAAGACTGGTAAATTTTAGAGAGAGTTGGGTGGAAATCCACCCAGTGGTGACAGGGGGAGAGAAAGACCCAGCAAGACTGGTAAATTTTAGAGAGAGTTGGGTGGAAATCCACCCCGTGGTGACAGGGGGAGAGAAAGACCCAGCAAGACTGGTAAATTTTAGAGAGAGTTGAGTGGAAATCCACCCCGTGGTGACAGGGGGAGAGAGACAGACCCAGCAAGACTGGTAAATTTTAGAGAGAGTTGGGTGGAAATCCACCCCGTGGTGACAGGGGGAGAGAAAGACCCAGCAAGACTGGTAAATTTTAGAGAGAGTTGAGTGGAAATCCACCCCGTGGTGACAGGGGGAGAGAGAAAGACCCAGCAAGACTGGTAAATTTTAGAGAGAGTTGGGTGGAAATCCACCCCGTGGTGACAGGGGGAGAGAAAGACCCAGCAAGACTGGTAAATTTTAGAGAGAGTTGGGTGGAAATCCACCCCGTGGTGACAGGGGGAGAGAAAGACCCAGCAAGACTGGTAAATTTTAGAGAGAGTTGAGTGGAAATCCACCCCGTGGTGACAGGGGGAGAGAAAGACCCAGCAAGACTGGTAAATTTTAGATAGAGTTGGGTGGAAATCCACCCCGTGGTGGCAGGGGGAGAGACAGACCCAGCAAGACTGGTAAATTTTAGAGAGAGTTGGGTGGAAATCCACCCCGTGGTGACAGGGGGAGAGAAAGACCCAGCAAGACTGGTAAATTTTAGAGAGAGTTGGGTGGAAATCCACCCCGTGGTGACAGGGGGAGAGAAAGACCCAGCAAGATTGGTAAATTTTAGAGAGAGTTGGGTGGATATCCACCCCGTGGTGACAGGGGAGAGAAAGACCCAGCAAGACTGGTAAATTTTAGAGTTGAGTGGAAATCCACCCGTGGTGACAGGGGGAGAGAAAGACCCAGCAAGACTGGTAAATTTTAGAGAGAGTTGGGTGGATATCCACCCCGTGGTGACAGGGGAGAGAAAGACCCAGCAAGACTGATAAATTTTAGAGAGAGTTGGGTGGAAATCCACCCCGTGGTGACAGGGGGAGAGAAAGACCCAGCAAGACTGGTAAATTTTAGGGAGAGTTGGGTTGAAATCCACCCCGTGGTGACAGTGGGAGAGAAAGACCCAGCAAGATTGGTAAATTTTAGAGAGAGTTGGGTGGAAATCCACCCAGTGGTGACAGGGGGAGAGAAAGACC